CATAGATAGATAGAAAGAGATAGAGAAAGAGATAGAGAGACAAACAGATAGAAAGAAAGAGAGATAGAGAGATAGATAGATAAAGAGAGAGAGAGAGAGACAGATAGATAGATAGATAGATAGATACGCGGGAGATAGATGGAGAGATAGATGGATAGATAGATAGATAGATAGATAGATACATACAAAGAGATAGAGAAAGAGATAGAGAGACAAACAGATAGAAAGAAAGAGAGATAGAGAGATAGATAGAAAGAAAGAGGGATAGAGAGACAGATGGAGAAAGAGAGAGACAGAGATGGAGGGATATAGAGAGATGGATAGATAGAGAGATAGAGAGATACGTAGATATATAGAGAGATAGAGAGATAGATAGAGAAGATAGATAGAGAGAGATAAGCAGATAGATAGATAACACGAGAGATAGATAGACAGGTAGTTAGGTATAGATAGGTAGAGAAAGATAGATAGACCAGCAAACGAAAGAAAGAAAGAAAAGACCGATAGAAAGAAGGAAAGAAGGGAGGAAGGAAGGAAAGAAAGGAAGAAAGGAAGAATGACGGAGAAAAAGAGTCAAGAAAAGAAAGAGAAAGAGAACTATAGTTTTTATATTTTTGAAGCTTCCGCCCGCCGGCTTGCCGGCTTTACTGGTATTCCTATTTTATTTCCTTATACTATATTATATTATATTATAATATTATAATATTATAGTATTACTTCATTGTAGATCATAGAGGTGCCTCTTCGCATATGTAAGTATGTGTGTAAAAAGAGAAACTATGATATGATGTAGTATGTAATATCTAATATGTAATATGCAATATGTAATATGTCATATGTATGTACATATATGTATGTATACATACATACATACATATGTACATATATATATATATACACATGCATGCACATGTATGTAAAACGCACCTGTCAGTTTGCAGTTTGTTTCCATAGATGCATATTATATATGTATGGAATATAGACTGTAGTGACAAATGCACATGAGCCGGTGATAATTGTTCATAAGTGTATTCGTTCCATTTCAGTGAGCCACCTATCGCTTTCCAAGTTTGGGCATTTTGCAAGGGCATCGTGCAAAGGCTTTGTTTTCGTGAGTCACATCTTTTCCATGCAATTTTGCAAACAGCTGCAAACAGCAAGCTTTCTTGTAACGCTGAATGGTGGTAATGCTGGCCGCTTCTCATTTTTTGGCATATGTGAATACGTGAAATAGTTAGCGGATCCCGCATAGTCTTATAGATTCGACTATGATCCAACTTGGTTTGGGGAACCTGCGCTCTTCGTCAGATCGCCAAGGGAGCATCCTGCCTGACACTGGATTGGATACTCTCTATCCTGCCACCCGCACATTAGAATGTCTATCCTGCCAACCGCACATTCGGATCAGTGCCTTGTATGCGGCTCACTACGCAGTCACGGCAAACAATGTGATTGGGCCAGCGAAAACAGAATCGGGAATTGGCGCAGATGCGTGAGCGCAGCGGCCACGGCCAGGAGCAAGAATTTTCAGGAGTTTGTTTTTGTCCTTCAGGGAACTGGCCTTTAGAGTGATTAGAAGGTGTGCATGGCCGGACGAGAACTGCTGGTATCCCTGGCTTAGAGTTCACTTTGTGGATGGATCCTAGCAACCTGCTCTGCTCGTTTTGTGGTGGGGGGGGGGGGGGGCATTCGACAAAGGTGAGCTACAACGCGGCGCTAAATGCCTGCGCCAGCTGTGGCGAGGACGTGCCGAGAATCGGAATCGGAGAATCGGAGTTCCAACTTTGGTTTTGGATGCAGAAGGAGTACCCTCCCACCAATTAACATGGAACCTGACGTTTCTGGGGGTTCCGGAAGACCAGTTTCCTGTAAAGGAACCCTCTGTCAGGTTCCATGTGAATTCACGGGAGGGTAACTTATAAAAGAGCCACTTTTGGTCTTGGATCTATCTTTGGCGAACTTTTGAATCCAACTTTGGTTTTGGTTCTGGATCATAAAAGAGCACACAACATGCTTAGGGAGAGGGATGCCCGAAGGGCGAAAGGCTCCTTTCGCACCTTGCAATCGTGAAGGGAGAAACGCATCTCGAATGTTCCACAGCCGGGAGGGAAGGTGTTGTTGCAATTGGCAAGGGCTGCTTTCTATTTGGGGGTTTCTCCAAAATGGCGGCGCCTTTTTGGTTGGTAGTCAAAGCCAAACCAGGAAACCAACCATTTTATGGGATCACTATTTGGAGAAACGTCCGTTTGAGCAGGGTTCAAAGTCAGCTTGCTGAATGAAAGTGGAGTGCCCCGCCTGGCCGCGCAGTCGCAGCGGCGCTGAGAGCGTAGGCTACCGCTGTTTTCGCGAAAGCTCGCGTAACTCTGTGTAAGGTTTCCTGGCCTAAATTTGAACAGGATTTTGCCAATGCCGCTCGCTTCTTGCTGCTCTGACTTTGGACCATCACATTGATGGCCCGCTAGAATTGATGTTGTTGGTGCGGCCACAAGCATTGCCCAAAGGAACCGGCGCCACACTTGAAGACAGTTTCCGTACGTGAACTGACATCAGTGACTGATACAGACTGGCCAGTTTCTTAGGCCGGATTGGCTTCCTTTGTTTCAAGGCCAAATGTCCAATCAAGTCAGAGCCAGGATGCAGCAGCGAGCAGCCTTCGTCAGGAGATGACGGAGAGGCCTGGGTCTTTGCCGAAGTACTCGTCTCGCAAAGGCACAGCTTTTCCGGCGCTAAGCCTTCGCTTCGCTTGAGCTCTCCGGCAGCATTCAAGCCAGTTGTTAGAGACCTTCGCCACCATGCCCCCAGAGAGGCGCACTGCACCGACTGACATATCAATATCAAGTGTCAATCACATACCATGCCTATTCCGCTAACCAAGATGACCACAGCACTCCCGAAGCATGCCTGTATTGTCATTGTGTGATGTTGTAGATAGAAGGACCTCGTTAGCAAAAAGGCCAAGACAGATCCTGAGTTGAGTTCCGGGCAAAGATGAGGCCATGAATAACTCACTCCCTACGTTCCTGGACTTGAAACATACTTTTTGGGAGACTATTTTAGTCTTAGTGGTCAACAACGAGTTTGGACCTGGCCTATCAGCTCAGGAAAGGAGATACAGTGAGATAGTCAGATCTATTTCTTCCTCAAAGAGATTCCCCTGAAATGGTTGCTTCCCTTTTGGTTCCCCTTAAACAACAAGGTGTGACCCATGTGTTGCTTTGCTGAACAGGGAGGTGAAGGGGGATTCCAATAAGCTTGAGTTACAAGCGACTTCGATGGGGTTCAGACATGGTGCAGGTCATTTGATCCAGATACCGTGAGATACCAGAGGGATTTTTCGGTGGGGGGATTTTTCGGTGGGGGGGGAAGGGAGCGCTTAATACGCTGCCTGCGAGCCAGGCGAATCGCGCCTACCCAGGTCGGCCCGCCCATTTTGCCGGGGACAACTTTGGGACATGGGTGTGTCTTCTTTTTAGGGGGACCCTGTTTGTTTGGTGGTTTGAAAGGGAAACCAAGAGGACAAGTTTGCACATTTTGTAGGGACTCCCTTGCAAAAAGAACACGCCCAGATCACTTTCAATGAAGCTTCTTGCTTCTCTGGTCTGGGGATATCCCAGTGAACCCCTACAAATGCTTGGATTTTCCCCCATTTTTTGTCGCATGAAACTACCGCACCGCCTTCCGCTGGCTCCGATCCCGGCCGCAGCAACCATGTCCCTCCACTGTGGCAAGAATGGGCCGCTAGAGTCCATTAGGAAGAATCTTGATTGGGATGGTGCGGAGCGCATTGGTTCTCAGCTCTCGAATCGTCATGCTCCCATTGCTGGTTTAGATTCATGTTTGCTGGCCTTTTTCTTCCCATCCTGTAAACCACAGAAAATTCCAAGCAAGACAAAGTGAAAAGATAGATTCTAGGGCAGATTGATCGGCGCCCAAGTAGCAGATCGAATTCGGAAAGAGTTGTGATTAATCCTTCCTTCCATAGGCGCTGGCCTACAACAACTAAGCCAAAAGGAGCCAGTGAAAAGAGTTGAGTGGAAACCACAACGGATGTTTGACGCCTTTTTGCCAGACTGCACTTGCAGGCATGCATTCGTCCATGGAAGCAACGCCAAAAGCCATCATAGTTAGTACACTACCATCATGTTTTCTGCTGCAAGACACAACACACCGGAAAAAGCACCGCTTGGCCTCAAACAACTGTTTTATGCAAGACTTCTGAAAAAAGTGTGGGCTCGGTGCGCGTTCTGTGATCTGGTGTTTGGCACCGTTTGCCACTTGCTTTAGAATTTGTCGATTCAGGATGCGCAATGGATAGCAAAGGGTAGCCCAGGAACGCCAAGCAGCAACCAGATATTTCGGACACCCCGGTCGAAAACCGCACATTTGGTTTCTTTTTTGGAATGGGAGAAACGCTGTGGATTGACCAAGGCACCAGGTTGGTTGTTTGTCCCCGTTGGTTCTCCATCCCAACTGGTGCGAAGCGGGTGTGGCTCCAAAATAGGGGTCTTAAATGGAACCCTGGTGAATGGGAAGGTAGAGAAAAACCTGCGCAACCCGAGCTGTTTGATTGCGAGCCACACCCGTGGATTTTGTTCAGCGAGTCAGGTCACCTGCAACACCCTGCTGAAGCTTTTTGCGCTGACCAAAGACGGCCAGCGCGCTTACGAGCTTTTGCAGGCAGGAGTGCACGCAGTGACACTTCGCCAAGTCGAAGTACTAGGATGGCAATGGATTGGAGAGGATTCGAGAGGAGCGGATTGAAATGGCAACCCAAGTATCCCGAAATCATGGCAATTTCATGGCTATAGGGTTTCCGGCTTTAGTACTGCTGGTTGTGTTTGGGTGTGGAAGTTTTCTGATCTCACGATACAAACCGATTGGGCACAAGCTCGGAAACCATCCTCAGGACCAATGGGGTGTTGGGGGCGCTTCGGGCAGGTGGTTGCAGAGTTGGCTTGAGTCGTAAAGATGGGTGTCCTTCTTGAGGCTCGGGACCCTTGATGGCTGAGGCGACCCACTTTGAGGTGTCTTTTCTCAGCGGACCCCAAAAATGGTTGGTTTCCTGTTGGTTTTTCTTGAAACCGACCAAATGGGGGTACCAACACCCATTTGGAGATGCACCCAAGTAAAATGACATAAGTCATCAACGGTGTCCAATACTTTTTGCCTCGCCATGCCCGCATACACAGCACATCGGCAGATAATTCGGCCCTTAGCCATTCAGCCCATTGAAACAAAGTAGGCCATCCCGCACCCCAACAGTTGTTGAGGCTGGGCTGTGGGTCAAAACCAATGGTACAATTTTGGGGTACCACCCATTTTAGTCTATTTTAGTTGGGATTGGGATGTTCACTGGGGGTACGGGCTTTTGACCCATGGCCACCTATTCGATGCCAAAGAGGTTTCCATTCAGATTCTGTAAAATCCGATGTGCGCAGGACGTACGCATATTACACCTTTTTGTGGCGGGTGGGTGGGTGTTGCATCCCCAAAGCCCGGCTTCCCGAAGCCGAGGACATGCCGCGGTATCGGCTGAAGCCAGACCTCATCAGCTTCAACTCGGCCGGGGGCCCAAGGCATCGGATGGCCTCGGGGCCCTTCGGGAAACCAATAGGAAGCCACCCATTCGGGGGGCTCCAAGTCCCTTGAGATAATAAAAAAAAAGCTCAAGCGACGCCTTTGCCGTGCCTTGAAATTAGGGTACTCCAAAAGGTCGGTTTCCGTTTGTTTTGGCCACCCTTTGGCGCGTGGGTGTGTATCCAACAGATGGTTATTTTGAGACATACCTACCCGTTTGTGGACGCAAGGCATCTGGAGAGAAGAACACCCCCCCCCCCTCAAGCCGCTGCAACCTCCCCTCAAACAGCAAGTGCGTGGGGGCACAAAACGCAATGCCGCACTGTGTTCGGCCCTTCCAAGCGAAACGCGAAGGGAGCCCGTGCCGCTGGTGGTTTTGCGGTAACCTTTGCCTCACTTGAGGCGTTGTCGGCCAGCAACGCCAGCTTGGTCGAGTGGCTCCTGCACGAGATGGCTCCAGGCCGGGGCAGTTCAGAGGGGACTTCCGGGCCGGGAAGAGGGGATCGGAGGAGCGACTTGACGTCATGCGGTTTCAGGGTACCTAGGGGTCCTGAATTTTCCTTGATTCATGCTGTTACAACAGCTGTGCCCAAGAGCTCCTTGACCTGCACAGGCACAAACAGCCCAAAGCTCCAGAACCTGCGCACGCACCCCCACCCAAAGAAGCAAACAACAGCTTGGGGGCAACTTTATACGCACCCCTCTTAGCTGACACGGTTGTCAATTTTTATTTTTGTTGGCCAGTTCTGGCTCGGGAGCCTTGTCTTTTGTGGTTTCCTATTCAACAAATAGTGATGATCGTACTGAAGCAGGTTCTTCAAATTCGCGCCTAAGTTTCCTAATGGCTTGTTTTTCATTTTGATGTGTGCTTCTCAGTTCTAGCTCGCTAGCTATTTATCTTGAAACTCGGCTTCATAGATCAGAAGGTTTAGCATGTTGTTTTTGGAAGCTCGGCAGAGTGGGCGATCCTCTTGAGATTGAGAACTGGAGATCTGAAAGGCGGAGGGAGGCGAGGGGCGCTTCTGTTACCTCTGCAGACCTCCACAAGGCTTTTTCAACTTTGTTTTCGGAGGGGGTTTCCCTTTAGAGTCAACAACCAGAAACAGAGTACACACCTGTCCACGCCGCTGACAAGAGGTGCACCGCATATGTATATACTTTAGAGCCTCCGGCTCAGTCCGCCGACATTGTCCTCTCCCTTTTCTCCTTCTTCCTCTCTTCCTTGTCTCCCTTGTGTGCTCTCCCTCCCTCTGCTCCCATCCTCCCCATCCCCCCAAGCCTCTCTCTTCCTAATCTCCCTCTCTCGTATGTATGCATGCATGTACATAAGTATGTATGTATGCATGTATGCATGTATGCATGTATGCATGTATGCATGTATGTATGTATGTATGTATGTATGTATGTATGTATGTATGTATGTATGTATGTATGTAATGTAAGCAAGTAAGTAAGTAAGTAAGTAAGTACCTAAGTAAGTATGTATGTACGTAATGTATTTATGTATGTATGTATGTATGATGTAATGTAATGTATGTATGTATGTAATGTATGTATGTATGTAATGTATGTATGTATGTATGGATGGATGTACGTATGTATGTATGTATGTAATGTAATGTAATGTAATGTAATGTAATGTAATGTAATGTAATGTAATGCAATGTATGTATGTAATGTAATGTAATGTAATGTAATGTAATGTAATGTAATGTAATGTAATGTAATGTAATGTAATGTAATGTAATGTATGTATGTATGTATGTATGTATGTATGTATGTATGTATGTATGTATGTATGTATGTATGTATGTATGTATGTATGTATGTATGTATGTATGTATGTATGTATGTATGTATGTATGTATGTATGTATGTATGTATGTATGTATGTATGTATGTATGTATGTATG